TTACTTGGTCCCATCTCCACGCAGGGCGCTGGCCTAGATGACCTCTTGAGGATCCTTCCAGCCCTACAGTTCTATGATTCTATGGATAGCGTTGCAACTGGCAGTAATGGGTGACTTTGCTGGCTGTGCCTGTGTGGGGCTGAAAGTGGTTTGGCCTGGAGGGCGAACTATCCCAGTGGTCTCTGCAAATCAGGGTAAAGGCGTGCCGATGGGGTGGTGTGGGGAAGCTTGCCTTCCACTGCATGTGCTCTGTGGATAAGCAGAGGGCTATGTGCCAAATTCATCCTGTTCCATGAAGACGGTGGACTTGCACCAGGGCTTAATTTGGCCCTTCTCTAGGGCCATCAGTCTGGCACCTTTCCCCAGCGCTGACTTCAAGTGGAAAGGAGATCAGCCTCACCAAGAACATTAAAAGCACAGTGGCTTGTTTTAGCGGGGTGCATCCTTGCAGTTCTGTGCAGTTATGGTAACTAAGGAACTGGTCACTTTTGAGCCTCTTGTGAGGCATTCACTTCCTTCATTAGCGACAGCCGCTCATTCGCTCCCACGTCACTTCATCTCAGTCAGCGGCATCCGAGTTCCACTGAATGGCGTTCTTAATGACGGTACCAAGCAAGGTGTCACGAAGAGCCTCAATTCCCAAGGCTGAAATGAATCAGAACATATTCATAGATAGATGCAGATACAGCAGCATATATAATAGCTTCATGGTGTTGTCAGGGCAGGAGGCTGTCAGCTTGACTCATCCCAGGGGTCTAACCCCTTTGTTTGTGCCATTGTTTCTTTAGGAATCCTTTGTCTTGCGCATGGAGAGGAATAAACCACGTAATCGGAGACAGGCTATTTTAGCAGTTGCTTCTAAATCTTACAGCTCCACCTAGGAAAACTGCCCTTTTTTCTGGCTGGATTCCTCACTGGGGTCTGAACCAATTCCCATCAAAGTAAACGGGAGTCTTTCTGCTGACTTCAGTGGGCTCTGGATTAGGTTCTCGGGGGCAAGAGAGATGCAGCCCATTCCTTCAGTGGGTTAGCTACCAAAAGAAGAGATGGCTGTATATGTCAGAAAGACCTTGGGCCCAGATCCTCAAACATATTTAGGTGCCTAGCTCTCATTGATTTCAATGAGAAATATGTACCTAAATACCTTTGAGGATCTGGGCCTGGGGGCTGGATTGATTTGGCTACAGGACAACAACCACATGGGCAGCAAGAAGGCAAGTGGATACCAACCCATAAACATACGTTAGCCATGACCTGGAGAGGAGGGATGCTGGTTGTCTCCATTGGTTTATTCAGTCTCGGGCCTCTCTGCAGGACATGGTGATGCTGGTGCCAGTTTTTAGCTGTCTTTGTGAGGCAGGTGCCTGTCCATCAGCACTGGATTGAGACCCCCAATCTCACTGCATGTGGGCCATCAAACAGCTGTCAAATGATGACACATTCCAGTCACTGCCAATGATCTAGAAAGGCTCCATGTCCTTCTATCAATCCCCTGAGCTACCTGTTCTCCAAGGAACTAAACGAGGGTTCTGCTGATGCTTAGCTCGGTACTCGCCAGGTGGGAGTTATCTATCTTGTCACCGGATGAGCCCTGTCCAGAGATGAGCAATGGCCTTGGGCTGTATGTTGAGAAGGGACCCCAACACATGGTCATTGCAGCCCTCTAATAATCGAGCTACATCTCCTCACCCTCTTGGGAAAATAATACTCTGTGTGCATAGCCTTACGTCACACCTGGGCTGCAATGCCCACAAATGCCAGTGGGTAGGCAGTCGGTGTTGGGTAGTACCAAACAGGGCCGGCTCCAGGCACCAGCTAAGGAAGCAGGTGCTTGGGGCGCCCAATGGGAAGGGGCGGCACGTCTGGGTCTTCGGCAGCAATTCAGCGGCGGGTCCCTCAGTCCCTCTCTTCCTCTTTGAGCTGCCACCGAAGTGCCCCCGAAGAGGAAGAGGGGGAGCAAAGGACCCGCCGCCAAATTACCGCAGAAGAATGAAGCAGCGCCATTGAGCTGCCGCCGAAGCGCGGCCTACCTTCTTTTTTTTTTCTTTTCTTTTTTTTTTTTGCTTCACCGCTTGGGGCGGCAAAAAAGCTGGAGCCGGCCCTGGTACCAAATGCATTCATTTCACTGTGACCTTGCCCTCCATTCCCTCTCGTGGGTTTTCTCCACCTGTTGCCTCTCGTCACATGCTGAAATTGCAAGCTCTTTGGGGGCAGGGACTGTCTTTATTCTGCCTGGTACAATGAGTGCTGAACCCTGGTAGTGGCCATTAGATACGACCACAATAAAAACAGGTGGGACAGTAATTCATCTGAGGATCTCAAAGCACTTTGCAAAGGTCAGTGCAGCCGACACCAGGCCTGTGAGGTAGTAGTTTGGTCCTTTCCCACCCACTGCCCCAAACTGGTGGTCGTGAAGGTAAGATTTGTGCACCCCTGACTCACTGCCATCGCTGATGTGGTGAATTAAGGGGTGCCTACCTGTAGAGCATTGGGAATCGCTGGCAGCTGAATCCCAGGGAGTAAGATTCTCTGTGAAGTGAGTTGGCCTCACACCCAGATGTTTCACACCATTGGATTTTATTCTGGTTTGTAAACAACAAACAATCATTTCCAAATGGCCAGTGCAGTGAGGCTGCTGGGCTGGGCTGGGTGGAACCCTGAAACCTTCCGGTCATAGCAACAAGGGAGGCTGCTGCAAATGGATAGTTGGTCCAGGTCCCTGTGCTAAGAAGACTGCCAGAGACTTCCCTTTGTACCCTATCCTATCCTTTACCTCTGTCCCCCTTCTTCCTCCACTCACTGACGAAATCCTGCTTCACACCTGGTGTAGTCCTAATAGGGCAGCAGGTTGCATCTGCTAAGGGAAAATGAGGGGTGAACAGGCTACTTAGCACAGGCCTTTTCTGGGAAAATTGTAGAATGTAATAAGATCGAAACCAACAGCGTTCTTTAGAAATTGCTTTTAAAACCAGGGCGCTATCTCCTTTCTGCTCAACAATGCAATAGAATTTTATTGCAGCCATATAGCGATGAATAGAGAATGTATATCCCTGCTATCGAGTGACCTCAAACCTCAGTAGGAAAGTTCTCCTTTTCTATCCAATCCCATAAGCCCAGGCCAGTAGGACTTCTGAAGAGTTGTGGTTGCCTGCTGTTAACTTGTGGCTCCTACAATGATCAGTTAAGCAGACTTTAATTAACAGTGGGAGCAGTAGTGAGTAACCAGTGATTTCTTTGTCTAAAGCGTCTATTCAAGTTGGGTAACTTTTTGTGACTTCGGGAACATTATGGCTGGGAGGCTCACAGCCCAAGCTCAGCATGACCCAAGGGACGCTGATGGTCACTGCAGCGGGGAAGGTGGAGGTACCACTAAAGAGCCAGCTGCGTGATGTCTCCATTCTCCCAGGGACATTAGAAAAACCTCAGCGTTCAGCTCCCCCTGCTGGCTCCATCCCCATTCTACAATGCAATGATTTTTTTCTTTTGAATCTGTATTTAGTTTTTACTGTGGGCCAATTAACCCTTGCACCCGGGTTGGCCGAGGGGTTCACAGAATACTAAGAACTGCCCTGACCGTGTAGTTACTGCACATTTATAGGCCTGGAATATTCTGAACCAGCAGAGTCCAAAAAGCTACGACTAGTGCTGGGGTGGAGGCTTTGAGGTGGTTGAAGGACATAAATCCACACCGTGTAGAGGTCAAAGCATAGGGGTTTATTACACACAGCGCTGGTGGAGTGTCACCTGGCTTATTAGGCTCGGAGACACTGTCAATCAATTGATTACAATGAAATATATAGATTTTCCATGGGCGGGGGAAAGTGACGGGGTAGGCAGTTCCACACCCCAGGATAGGTTTTGCAGCAAGACAAGATAGCACATTAGCCAATGGTTAAAAGGTTACATAATGTCTCCGCCCATGGTCTCAAATTAGCAAGTTAACAATTAATACTTTGATAAAATGTTATTAGTATAAAATATATATGTTGAATTCTGATTTGGGGTCCATAGGAACGGAGCAACTCCTTTGATTGTCCGACAGGTACATGTCTAGGGGATAAAGCAAAGAAACAGTGAAAGGATATGGTAATACAGATTGTCTCCTTTATGCCTTAAGGCAGGGCATCGGTCCCTGGGAAGGGAGGTGGAAAGATGCCATATCATTATACTGACGTGCCAATTTTCATAAACTCAAGGTTGGATCTGTGGGAAGACTGTTTTCCCTTCAGGAGAAACACAATAGGAACAGGGATCCTTTGTTCAATTTGAAACATTGGATGAAACATAATTATTCAGTTATTGCTTCAACATCTGGCATTTCTACTGACCAAGCATATCTTAGCAAAGGCAATGTTATCTTGTTTACCCCAGCTTTCTCTTAGCTGATCACTATTAGCTAGGCCTCCGGTCTCCAGACCAAACTTTGGACTTTGGGTCTGAGAAAGAGCTGGCACAATCCATATACCAGGTTGTTATCTAAAATGCACATGGATTTTAACCCTTCAGTGGTGTATAAAGCAAGAGCCTCTCACTGTGCTAGCGTGTTTCATTTTTCCTGCTGCTGTTCTGGTCCAGTTAGTCACTGGATTTAATTGTAAAAAGGCATCTTTGGCTGATGGGATCTCGGGTGACAAAACAGCCCAATAGCTCCAGACCCTCACTGCTCCCCCGTACCCACCACCTTACTGCCAGACAGAGGAGTTTCCTTCTTCCAATAGAAGAGTGGTGCCTAGTTTCTCCTGAAAGGAGCCTCGAAGCAGGGCAGCCGGCCTGCTGAGAAATGAGCTATTTGGACAGTAGCTGCTGGAATCTGGGGCTGGCTGGTGGGAGGTGAACAGCGGGAATGATGGACGCCAAACTCTGGCCAATGTTTTGTTCTGACTCGCCGGAGTAGCTTTGCTTAAAAAAGAAATCCCAGTTGCCATCCCACCAAAACTCTGCCACCACCAAAGCTCTCCAAACATCACTCACCGGCGTGAACTCTCATTGGCTGATCGCACCTGGAGGGCGGGATACGCCTTGGTCCTGAGAGTTCTCCGTTGCTCGAACCCCTTCCCAGCAGGCCGAGGCGTGGCTGCTCTGCTCTCCCATGGCGGGCAGCATTGTAGGAGCGGTATGAATTCTTTTCTCACGTTTGGGACTGAACCACTTGGTTGCTAGCAGGCCTCTCTGCCATTGTCTGAACCAGGACATTATCCCCATCTGATCCCCACTGTAAGAAGCTCTGGCTCTTCTCTGGTATGTGAGAATGGCATTGCCCCCACTTGAATATTGATCCAGAGGTGGTCTTCACGTGTTCCCCATGGTACAGGCTTTATTTCTCCTTTGTCGTATGATTGGCCACCACAGGTGTAGGATGGGAGGTAGCCGGGCATGAGACTGATGCCAGTCAACGGGTACCCATATGCTGGGTGGCTGTCACTTTCCTTTCCTACACCTCTCCACAGTGTGCCTGGTCTCTGCCTGTCCCCTGGAGAAAATCCTCAGCCTCCTTCCAAACCTGGATGTGGGCTTCTCCTACTGACTCCTGGGTGATTTCTTTAACCTCCCCTTCCCTCCCTTCTGCCCTGTTCTGTTCCTTCCCAGCTCCAGGCTCTCTGCCCTCGTCAGGATCATTTTGCTGTCCATGGTGCTTAAAGATTGAGCGGAAGTAGGGAGTGAATCCTTGCCCTGCTGCGCTGCAGGTCTAAGTTGGGAAGCTGGGTACGAAGGCCAAGGGCTTTGGTGAAGTGAAAGAGGAAGGAGCTTGGTGCACAGCCTTCCTGAGCCGATATTTAAAGATCTTCTGAAGGGCTGTTTATTTCCATGACCCCTGGGTCTCATGCACGTTGAGAGGAGCTCACTGGTCATAACCAACTTTCCCCTTCCATCTATCTGCTGAGACTGCCAATAAAGCAGCAATTTAGGGCCAGTTGTCATTTTTAGGATTTAGGAACAAGACCGAGACCAGTAAAACTCATTTCCCATTCAGCACCCACGTGTGGTCAGATGGCGGTAACTCTCGGCCACATTCAGGGTGGACTGGAAGAAAACTGGCACTCCAGGGATGCCATATCCCCATGACCAAGCCTTTGAGCCATCCAGTCTCCAAGGGCTGCAGTTTTATGTACCTATTGTGGTTCCATCAGGACTGTTCAACAACCTTTGGGAAATAGCTGGTCTCTCCAAGACACCACATTCTATAATCAGATCTAGCGAGCAGCAGCGCCGCTTTGCTTGCCTGCAAATTGCAGCAGTACCGCCATTTTGATGGCCACACTTCCAAGAATTGCTTCCCAGTTGGGCATGGTGGTGGCTATTGCATGGGGACTTGCAGCTAGGAGTGGCCCCTGGGCAGTGAGTTACCTGCTCCTGTCTGGGAGTCAGTGCTGGTTCTGGGGTTTTCATCTGCCTGGGGAAATGTCCATTCCCAACAGCCTGTAGTCATGCACACAATGAACCCATAAGATGCAGTAGTGGGAGAGGGCCAGAGGGGGCTAGAAGCACCTTGCTGAATGTAATAGTTTTCTATCTAGATGCCATTCATCCTTTATTTAGGGACAGCCCCACAAATACCAATGCACTGTGATCTAGCTTGGTAGACCTGAGAAGCAGGTAGTCAGACTTTGCTGGATTTTAAATGAACTCATTACAATGTAACAGCTCCACCCTGTTCTTCCCAGACTTGCTCCCTTTACTGTTTCCCAGTAGGTATTGCATCTGCTCACTCCTCTGCTAGACTGGTGCTGCCACAGACACAACACGCTTCTTCCAATATAATGTTCTGCTGCGCTAGTATTTTGTAGTCCTCGGTGTCCACCTCCTCTGGCTTGTATGGCGGAGTTGGTGCTGGTTGGAGCATGTTGTCTGAATGGTTACGTGGTATTCCCTGGAGATTTACCAAAGGTGATGCTTCCTATTCCAGAAGGATCATCCTGGCCCTCAAAAGGGGGGACTCAGGAAGAAGCTGATTTCATTCAAGGAAATTTGGAAAGTTCCAGGGAACTCTGCAAGCTGCTACAAAAATGCAGGGGTTTTCAAGCAGCTGCCGGTTGGCCCTGGTGAAGAGGGGCTAGAATTGTAAAGAGAGGAGCTGTGTGACAATAGCTGAAATTAACTCCCACTTGTTTTTCCACTAGCCTGCGACTCATGCTAATCCCCCCTCCCTCCTAACCAGCTTTTAACTGCTCTAGTTAAGAAAACTTAACTTTTCTATTACTGCACATTTGTCTCCTTTACCCAGGTGCTTAATTACCATTGTCCCAGCGAAATGTCAGCATGAGTCAGAGACAGTCTCCCATTAGGAAGAGACAGATGAATATTAATTACACTTACTGGTGAGTGGGTTTTCTTTTTTGTCATTTCCCTGACTCCGCTGAGGACCCTGTAGCTACATGTTCTCTGGCCTGAGCAGCTGAGCTGGCACCAGATGGTCAGTGAACGGACAGTGTTTGTGGGAGATGGAAGGGAACCCAGCAATGCGAGACGAGAGGAGACTCAACACTAGCTACAGCAGAGGCTGAAGATGAGAGAGAGAGAGAATCTGCAACATAAATTGAGAGTAATAATAAACTCCATCTGCTGTAGGAACAGAAGCAATTTAACTTTCCCCTCTAGCCAAAGGAAACAAACTCTTATTAAGAAATCTTATTACCAAGTACTTTCATCTTTGGGTGAATAACCCAAGCCTGGTGCTTGGTCTCCCAAAGCAGGTTTTTCTATGGTGCAACTGAACTGGATCAAAGCAAAGCAAAGCAGCTGCATGGACTTTCAGGTGCCCTTGGGGGGCTGAATTCCGTCTGACGTCCAGGATTCTCTGTGTCTACACCATCAGTCATGGCACTGGAGTCTCTGAAGATAAGCGGGGTTAATGGGGAGCAGGCAGCTCTTTTCTCCCTCTCGTCCTTGTTTGTGAATTCCACACAGCAGGCGTACATTCAATATGTCATACGTTCGGGGACAGATTTTTTTTAAAAAAAAACCCTGGCTTCTAGCTTTGCACTTGCAGTTGTGTGGGCACAACAGATGTCAGATCAATGTTTGATTAAGTGGTGCGTTACAGTCAGGTAATGATGTATCTGACAGCCATTTCAGCTCTCACAATAGTTGGAGCGTGGAAGGCTGAGGTAGGTTCCGTTTCCAATCAGGCTTTACCGCTCTGCATTTCACGTCCCCGGCTGCAGAGGCACTGTTATGGGAACGCGGCTGATGGCATTTACAGGTGATCAGACACTAACATGACATCTAACGGGTCCATATAATTACAGGTTAAAAAAAGGGAGACCGGGTTTTAAACATCTAGGCTCTTAACTTGGGAGAATAAGTTGCTAGAAATGACAGTTTTCTGTATATGGAGAATGTTTTCCAGTATTAAGCATTATGCCCACATAGAGCCTTATCCAAAACCCACTGAAGTTAATGGGAGACTTTGGCTTGCCCTCAGTGGCCTTTGAATCATACCGGCAAGGGTTAAATCTCTCTGAGGATAACTATGATCTTAACCAGCTAGACCAGGGGTGTTTGTGGTTTGCAGCTGCTTTTTACTGCACCGGTGCCTGAGTCCATGTGTGCAAAGCCAAGCAGAAGAACGGGCTGAGTTAAGATGGTGGCTCCAGCCCCTTGGTAGCATGCCCTCCCATGACAAGTCTCTTCTCTATTAACGCCAGCACACGTTAGTCAGTCAGATGTGACTTCGGGTAGGTTGGGGAACTTCTCTTTCAAACTCCATGGCCAGAGCTGTCAAAGGGAGAGTGGTGGTTGTCTTTCCAGTGGATAAATGAAACCCCGTCATCTGTCCCTGAGGACTGTTTTTGGAAATGCACAATGCTTCGTAAGAACTCTTTACAGAGTATTGATGTGAGGGCACCAGCCTTCTGTGACTGGAAGCATCTTATGGAAAGGTAGAAATTGCTGCTGCCCCTCCATTTCCACTCTTGGTCTGGTGAGCAAAGGTCCTGAACACACAAGTCCTGTCTCAAAGTGCAGTGTCCCATGGCCTTCCCCTTCCTCATGCCACCTGTGGAATAACAATAGTCACACTGAATTCTCTTGGAATTCAGTGGCTAGTAACATAGGTGAAATTTACCCCTGTGCAAATGGTCAGCAGAAGATCCCATGCTCCAACTCCAGCAGAACTTAGGTGGTACGTGGGCTTTGTGTCGATCCTCTGGACAGGAGTGATTTTCACCCCGTGTGATTACCCAGGTGCTCCATGTAACCTGCCCTGAATTGGGGCTGGATTTTCAGAGGGCCTGCAAGCTATGCATCTGCACAATTAGCATGAGCAAAGGTCACGTGTAAACAACAGTTGGGTTACTGTGCACCCAACAAGCTGACATCTGTGCACAAATTCCCATCTTTATGTGCAAATGTGGAGTTTGCGTATGCAATAGGCTTGGCCAGTTAGGTGCAAAAACACCCTAGTTTTGTGCACGTCCCAGTAAGAAGCTCTCTGAAAGGATTGGGATTTAAAGTCCTTTTATTAAGAGCTGAATGTTTCTCGTATCTCATGGGCACCTTTCCATCCCTACCAAGTGGCCTCCTGAGGCTTTTGTAGAGAACTAAGATTTACCTGCTAATTCAATACAGCTCTTTATTCACAGGAAGGAACCTCAAGTATCCAGCAAGCCAATTTTCAAGCTAAGGGGAAGGGAGGGTTGCTGGGAAACATCCCTCTGGAGAGAGAGAAGGTAAAAATAGTACGTTCTTCAGATCCCGGATTATCACTAATATTTGAAAGGCATCACGTGCAGTAACCATGTCAGAGCCTTTCTCGTTTTTAAGGCATAAACGTTACGGGGGGGGGGGGGGGGGAAGGGGAGAGCTTTTTCTGTTTGTGCCCAGGCGTCCATGCTGTTACAAAGAAGATGCAGAATCATAACCTCTTGAGCATCACCCCAGTCAGGCGTCTCCTGCTCTCTGGTCCCTGCTGGTTTCTTTCATTTGAGACTTACTGGGAAGAAAGAGAGGGAAAGTTGGTGAGTAAATTTCTGGGAGTTTTTTCACACTTGTCTGAAAGAGGATGAGGTAAAGGGTGACCCCCAGGCACATTGATAAGCGCTATAACCTCTGCTCAGTCTGTTTTTGTGGCTACATTTGCTGCTTGGGATGAAACATGGCAATAAGGAGATCTACCGATAAGAAATGCCCCTTGTGTAGCTTCTTTCACCTAATGCTCTTACATGATGAATGACCCCTCTCAGATAAATTGAACCCCCATTTTACAGATGGGAAAACTGAGGCACAGAGGGTTTGGGTGACTTGCCTGCAGGCCCAGATTTTCCACAATGTACTTTAGTCCATGCCCAGTTTTCTCAAGCTTAACCCCCGATGCACGTGTGCAATTCAAGGCTTGTACACTCAAATCTTAGCTTGTGCACCTGCATGGAGGGTTGGCAGATGTTTAAAAATGCCCTGATGCCAGTCTGGGCCCTAGTGAATCAGAATCAGGGCGGGGAATAGAATGTGGGCACATTTCTGTCTCTCCCTTGTCCGGCTGCCTCCCACTCCCCTCTTCTATGTTAATAGTATTCCCATCTCTTTGTCTCTTTCCCAAGGTAATTATCAATAGCTCGATGTGCAGGGAAAGAGGAGGTGGAGTGTGTGGCAGGGGGAAAGTACAACTAACCCTTGGCTGTGAATAAAAACCTGCATTTCAATAGCAAGCGCAGGTGGAAGCTTTAGAACAAGTGAAGAGGATTGTTCCGTATACAGCGTCGGAAGGTCAAGGTAAGGGACCACTGGATATACAAAACAGGGAGGGAGGAGAGAATTGAAGCAACCGAAGAGAGCCCCTGTGGCTGCTGAATCCCTTTGCCTTCAGACACACTAGTCCCTGGCTGGCTCCTCTCCGGCTGGTGCTTTTTTGAGAAGAAGCAGCTGGAGAACATCGGTGTCTCGGCATAGTCGCCAGTAGAGGTAAATTCTGGGGAGGGCCTGTGAGGCCTCCTGGCCTTGTGACAGATGTCTCAGCAGCATGAGGGTGCCTGGGTGGTGGTAGAGGGGGGAGTGAGGGTGGGGACAGGGGGGTGGGCAGGCATCTGAATGCTAAAGGCCCAGGGTTTAATATTTGGAAATACACATCCACATCCAGTTAGTTGGGCCAGGCCTTTCCCCGGAGTCCATGTGACTGTGCATTCTCTCTTTGTCTTGTCTATAGCTCTGGGAGCTTGACTCCATCTCAAAGACGTTACCGAGCCGACGAAGGCTTTCTGACAGTTGGAAAACAGGTGAGGGCAGGTGGCAGCGTCACTGGTTTTGACTCTTTCCGGGTGATGTTTGACCTTAGTGCTGGTGGGAGATCAACAGGCCTGGAGGCTGAATTCCTTTATCGAGCCACAGAACAGGACCAAGCAGGGCAATAGCAGTGCCATCTCCATGTGCTGCCTCCTGCCGGGGTGGCCTCCCCTCTGCTCCCAAGGGGCCATGTCCGGGGGTGGGTAGGGATGGCAGTTTAGTTCCCAGGGTGTATTCAGTCCTGGGCCTCTTTGCCAGCTACTGTGTGTTCATTGTGAGTTTCATCTATTCCCTGGGAGCTGGACTGAGACCCACCAATCTCATCTCACACAGGCTGCCAGTTGGCCAGCAGGTGGGTGACTTTAAGGTGACTACCAGTCTGGGCTGCATTTGAATCAGCTACCAGAGGTGAGAAGCGCCTCGCTCCATTGCCAGCCTACGAGCGTAGTCTGTCCGTTTGTGTTGCAGCTGGAGACTTTCACCCTAAGTTCCAGGTTGCTTGGGAAGGGCTTGTCTCTGGGTCTGGCGCATCCTCTGGCTTATCGCGACACGGCCGGCAATCCCACAGCCCAGCAGTGTCACTAGGAGAGCCACTTGGCAGGGCAGGCGCTCAGCAGGCTGGAGTGGGTTAGACTTGGAGATTTGCAAATGTAAACGACATTCAGTAGCCTCTGTGTGTGCGCGTGTGTGTGTGTGTGTATGTGTGTTTACCCTCCTCCTTCATACTCTCTTTTGCACCACTCTTGCTTTGATAAGATGCCTCGTGCATGTTCCCAGGAGTTACTGTTTAAAGGGCCTGGGGACCATTGGGGGCCCGTCTCAGGGCGGTGGAGAGGAGTCTGTGACTGATTATTCACAGCTTCCGTCTCCCCCTATTGGCTCTGGAAAGCCTATGCTGAGCTGGGGCTCAGTGACAGGAGGAGGCTCCGTGTCAATAAAAAGAGGGGATCGAAAGAGTAGGGCTGTAATTCCAAAGGGGAACAAGCAGAGCTCGGCCGTCCTCGGTGCCGTCTGGGGGCTACAAAGCCAAAAGCCACAGCTGCAAAAAGGGAGCAGTTTCCTCCCCGCCCTTCACTGATGACCAGATTATCCTAAAGCTGAGGAAAGGAGGTGGACAGAATCTGCTGAGACTCTCAACTTTCCAAGGGAGCCTGCAGCTCCCAGAATCAACTTTCCACCCAAACTCTGCCCGGGGCGGGGAGCTCTCCAGGGACTGGGAGGAACACACAGGTAAGACACCAGCTGTGTGTGTGTCTGTGTGTCCGTCCGTCTGTACAGGTGTGTGTGTGATGCACTTCCCTGAATCCAACACTTTTTGGAGTTTTATTCTTTGCTTTCAGGTTTGCTTTTCCTTTCCTTGCATTTCAACTTCTAATAATGATGCACAGGCTGCAGCTCGGATAGCGATTCTGGCATTAAAAAGGGACTTGATTTGTTTAAAACCGCTGGTTGGTTTCTAGTGCCAAGTACCTCTTATCGATTGCTAAATTATTTAACGACATGCAGATGAGGCTCTTTGTCCCCAGATATTTTTTTCATCCCTATACCTGTCTGTCGCCTACCCAGTCTATCTGTGTAAATGTCTTTCCCATACTTCATTTCAGTTCAGATATCACATCTTTCTATCTTTCAAGAAGGGACAGAATTACTTATGCTGAAACAAATCAAATTTCAAAATAAACTAGAAAGTGCACATGGAGGTTAAGGACAACACCCATTTCCCTTTTTTATAAATTCCCTTAAAAAAAGACTAGTATTCTACAGCAGTAGCACCAAACTCTGAAGTAGCAGTAGTGGAAGTTGCAAAGTAATGGACCATTGCTGTAGAATTTTGCAGCATTTTTGTTTTAAGAGTTGGTGTTTTGTTCTTGTTTTATTTGGTAAAACAAAACATGCACAAAAGACATTTTTCAGGTCTTTTTTAAAGACAAAATGGATGCAAATGAGAGGGGAGGGGAAATGATGTTAGAAATGTTTATAAGGTCCTAAAAAGCATCCAGAATGATAGATCTTTTAGAGAGGGAAAACTGGTGTAACCGGGCTGAGGTAAGTGTACTCTGTCTGTGTTGTATAAAGTGCCAGGTATGTTAACATTATATGGCCAATAATAATTATTAATAAAAATAATTATCTTCATATCTTGCACACCTTTCATCTGAGGACCTTGCAGCCCTTCTTAAACACTAATTATGTTGCATCACACCGCTTATCAATCCAGTAGGTGAATATATAGAAAATCTGATTCTGAAATGACCACTTACAGGAACAGTCTTCACTTCCCATTTTTCATTCTGTTCGTTAGTTAAATACTCTGTACATTTGTTGCTTTATTTATAATCTGGCACACGATGTCCTCAGAAATGGCTGAAGGGATTTTGCATGAACTTAAAAAAAAAAATCCACTTTTAATCAGAGACCAAGCAGGGAAGAATTCAGCCCCAAAGGTGCATATTTAACTTAATTATAGGTGGCTGCAAGCAGGAGGTTAAATTGTATTACATCTATTATTAAAATTCCATTAATGCAAGGATCTATCTCTCCAGGATGTGTGTGTAACATGGTGTGTATTGGTGTGTGTGTGAGTATATACACACACATTATAGTACGTATATAAAATATGGTATATATCTATAACTCTGCTTTTCCTCCTCCTTTCTTTACCTCTTCCCTTCCTTGTGTTTCCTCCTTTGCTTTTATCCTTCATTGTTTCTCTCCCTCCTTTTCTTCTGTTCTATTTTTATCGGTCACTTCTCCGTTTCTGAGCAGAGCGCAGCTAAGCTCTGTGTGGAGTACTTCTTACAGTGCTGGGTGAGTTATGTTCATGGGGGAGGTCTCTGGCTGCCTGATGACTGGTGACTGTAGCCTGCAGTTTGCCCAGAGGAGTTACAGCTGTATGGGATGTCATGAAATCCCCTGTCCTCTGGCTGTGGAGGGTGTGAGGATTATGCTCGGCGCATTGTGCCAGATCCAATAGCTTAACTATCAGGCAAATGCTCTGATTTCATAGTCTGTTAATTGCTTCTGGAATTTGTCACATCAGGTTTGAAATGCCTGTGTGATAAATATTATCAGATGTGTAAGGTGGTGCCCGGCTTCTCCAGATGGCACAGAGGGCTCCTTTTCTGATCTCCTCTCTGAAATCCAATACCAGATAGCCAGGGCTTTAATTCACCGCTCTTGCATTTTACAAGGCATTTTAAATCATCTTGGTAGAGATCAATATATAGGAGCTGATGCCACGGAATGCCGTAGCTAAGGTAGGAACAAATCGGTGCCAGTTCCCTGGTGCCAGACATTTGTTTCGGTTTAGAGATCAATGATGTTTTCAGTGCTGGATCAGACAGAGAAAAGCTATTAATGCGGAAAACTCTGGATCGATAGTGAACAGGGCAAAGACGAGTCTCCAGGCTATATCTACACCTGGTTTAAGCAGGTGAAGCGCCAGTGAAGTCAAGAGGTATCTGGAAACACCAGCTGTGAATTTGGCCCTTCTGACTTGACTTAACCTGGTAAAGGGAGGAGGCAGGGTGAGCCCCATTAATCCAAGCAGAATGAAGAACGTCGGGCTGGTTTGACTAAATCGAGATTTGGATAAAGCAGGGCGACTCCTCACTGGAATGGCTGTATGTGTGGGGCCAGTCTGAGACCGGGGGGTGTTCAGATCAGAGGCTCAACCTCATGCCCCAGTGAGAGGCTGTGCCACAGCCCCGTTGAATGCAAACCTGATTGAAGGCCCCACACTGCTTGCAGAGTGCTGGGCTTCTAGGCAAGAAAAAAGCCAGTCATCCTGCTTCAGGCCCCGCTCTGCCGAGCACCACTTTCACAAGCCCCCAAGTATGTGTCTCCCTCCCCTCGTCCCCAGGCCTTGCCTTGGGCACGGGGATTTTCATGGCTAGAAAATAGGGCCCGTTGCTGTCTTCTTCCCATGTGCTGCTGGAAACCTTCCTCAGGCTTTCGCGTGCTGCCAAGCGTCCGGTCCCACTGGGCACCTGGATAGAAGCGGGGCACTGGGGAGCCTGGTGTTATTAATGGCCCTGGGGCGAGGAGCTGAACATGTTGCGGTTATTGACAAGTGGCATATTTGTCTTTTCTCCGTCCTTCCTTTTAACCGTTTCCATACCAGCCCCTCCTCTTTGGTGCTTCCCTCCCCTTTTCCTTCTTTGCTTTCCATGCAGCGCCGAGACCTTCAGCATTTCAGTCTTCCAGACCGAGAGCACTTCAAATTAAAAATCGGTTTGGTTTTCATGCTGGATTGAGCTTTCTCTTCCTGTTGTATTACAGCAGGGGTAGGCAACCTATGGCACGCATGCCAAAGGCGGCATGCGAGCTGATTTTCAGTGGCACTCACACTGCCCGGGTCCTGGCCACCGGCCCGGGGGGCTCTGCATTTTAATTTAATTTTAAATGAAGCTTCTTAAACATTTTAAAAACCTTATTTACTTCACATACAGCAATAGTTTAGTTCTATATTATAGACTTCTAGAAAGAGACCTTCTAAAAACGTTAACATGTATGACTGGCATGCGAAACCTTACATTAGAGTGAATAAATGAAGACTCGGCACAGCACTTCTGAAAGGTTGCCGACCCCTGTATTACAGTTTTGCACCGATATTGGCATTAGCTGAGTTTTCTCTGACCAGTTCTATTTGCATGACTAGCAGAGAGGCTAATAAAGTAACAGGGTATCTCATATTCCTGTTTCTAATGACACATCACGAGAGGTTAACAAGGAGGGAGAGTGACTTAGTGGTTTGAGTAGGAGGCTGGGGATAGGGACTCCTGGGTTCTGTTCTACTGATTTGCTATATGACCTTAAGCAAATCACTTGCACCTTCTGTGCCTTTTATTACCCACCTTTACAACTGTGATAACACCTATCACAGTCATGGTGTGAGGCTTCCTCGCTTTGAGATCCACAAATGAAAGGCACTACATTAGTGCAAAGTATTGTCATTATTCAGCCATTCATTTACTGAGCGTCTTGATAACAGCTTTGAGCCTGGTGAATTTGATGTTCTATTAATGCAGATAGTTCCGCATACGATAATGCAGATAACTCAAATTACATTAAAGCGTAGCCTGAATTAATAATCGGAATATTAACATATTTCTTCATTAGTGCCAATTATGGTACATTAACAGATACTGACTGAGAATGCAAGAGACTGCAGTACACGTCAGTAATCCCAAATGGACTGCTTCTGGGTTATGCCATTGTCCTGGAGGCAAAAGGGACCAAGAAGGTAACAGGACACTTATCACATGCTCACAATAAAGCAAGGGAACAATTGGTGGCTAATTTTCTGCTTAAGCATGTTTTGGAGACAACTAAACTTTTTACACACGTGGTACAACGGGCAAAATTTTCAAAAGTGCCTAAGTCCCATTGAAAGTCAATGGAACTTAGGCTCCTAATTCACATGGGTACTTCTGAAATTGTATTGAACATAAAGAAATAATGACCTAGGGATCCCAGGAATGAAGGTTCGGGAGTCGAGATGTTCCAGGTATCTTGGGCTTGTGTGACCTGCGGTGCTTCTAAGCTCTGAAAAAGCTGGCTTAGTCCAGGACGTTTAGGTGTCATGCAGTGGAGGGGCACGGGGACAGTGGCTGGCGCATGTAATCTCATGGCAAGTGTGAGGGTTGGCCTGCGTTGCGGGCAACATGGGCCAAATGGCATATTCCTGTGCCAGGCTGAGTTCTTGCACTGCCTCTGCTTCCCTGCTGGTTGGAAAATAAAAGCACCTCTGACTTTATTTTCTCCTTGTCGAGGGGTGTAGGGAGCAGGCACCTTCACTCCACAGGTCAACAACATTTTGCTTCATCCTCAACCACTCATTTCTCTATTAGCAGAGGAATCTTGGCGGGAACAAGGCATCACATCAAATCCCCTGCTTCTCTGGTGCAATGCCAGTGAACTCATGGGAAGGCAATGAGTCACTGCAAGACTCACTTTGGTCCAGTTTAGTTACCACTTACTCTGTCCCTAGTGGAACAGTGGGTGTAAGTGCTTTGAATGCATGTCCCTGGGAAAGGCTGAGTTTGGGTATTTGGGAGGCATGGGGTTTGTGGGTGTGTGTGGTACAGAAGACTAGGGTGGATTTTGGGAAGGAAGGTGTTTGGGGGGGTGCAGAATTTTGTGAGAGAGGAAAGTTGTGGTGAGGACAGGGTGTGCTAGCAGGCAGTTAGGGAATCTTTCTAGGATGTCTCTGGGGTGGAAACCTCCAACTAATATGTCTGCTGCTGTTAGCCAATGATATGTGTCATGGCCCAGCTGCACCATCTGCTCACTCATGAGTGTGACTCGATTGGACATAGATCCAAAAGAGAGAGGAGCGCTTCGTGTGGCCTCTCATTTGATGGACGAAGAATCCAAAATGTGACATGGAGGAAGGTTAGGTTCAGAGCCTAGTTTCCTGAACTCCACCCCCTCCCATCTCCTCCTCCTGAAGGCTCAAGGCCCGCAGGGGAGAAGACCAGAGTGTGAAGTGTTCATTGCAGCTGGGAACTGGGGAGGAGGGTGTTGGAAAGGTACTGCCATCCATCACTGGATAATGCAAAGACCTTGAATTCCTTCCCTCCCCCTGCTCTCCTTTGGTGAATAGCTGCTGTGGATTTCATTGCCTTTATTCTTCAAGGCCACGTGAGAGAAGCAGTGATTCACCCTCTCTAAGCCCCTCGGTAGCGCAGGGATAACAATACCGCAGAGAAATTCATGCTGCTGTTGATTAAGAAAGAATCTCTCTTTAAAATGATAAATAAAAGGCTTTAGAATAAATGTGTTTGAGTTGTTCTCACTCAGGCACCGGGAGGAACAGGTTACTGAACAGCATCTACAAGAGCAAGACCCACATCTTCCATAAGCTGATGAGACTAGAAAGGTCCTGCTGATGAGAGACATGCTATATGCAGGCATGTTTGAAACAGTCCCCAAGACATTAGGAACATTGAAAGACAGGTCAGAAATGTACACAGGCATGCTAGGACTTTCTTAAATACAGTAAAAGCTTTGGTATCCGGCATGTTGGGGGAATGGGGGGTGCTGGTTAATCAAATATTCCGGTTAACTAAGAGTTCTACTTACCAATGGAATACCAATTTTCAAAGAATTAGAATACAATAAAATTAATAAAGTATAAAATAGTAGACAGGTACTCACGAGTCCCGTAGTAGTACTGCACTGCCGAGTGGTTGGTTTCTTGAAGGTGTATACAGGTAAAGTTTTCTATACAGTAGGTTATCTGATGACACTATATATCGCTATGGGCAGCGCATGGCATACACCCAGATCACTAAAAATACACTTAACACTAAAACTAGACTGAACATAATTTAATCTTTCTTTGATGATTCAGAAGGCACTTCAGGATCTTGCAGTGCCGCAGCGTCATCATTATCAACCCCAGTTATCATTGTAGATGGAGAAGGTGTAGGAGATTGGGCTGAATCTGTAATGACCCTGACATACCCTGGAAGCTGCTTTTTTTAATAAATCTCTGATATCAGCTTGCGTCCATGTCTTCTGCCTCTTTTGCATAAAAGTAGAGTGCAGGATGTGCAATTGCATAACGTGCTGGGCAGTATACTCGTCCCGGTTACTAGATTGAAGATTTGTATTGGGAGATATCAGAAATGCCGGCTAATAGAGCTTTCCAGTTGATAAAGTGCCGGGTAACACAGCTTTTACTGTATATTGGAGGCAAAGAGCCAGATTCTCAGCTCGTGTAGATCGGAGTTCGCTCCATTGACTTCCATGAAGTTATGCTCGTTTATATGAGCTGAAGTTCTGGGCTAAGTTGTGTATTAGGCACATGTGCAAAAGTTACCAGCTGGGTGGAAGTGAAGGGTTTCCGAGACATCTAGGTGGAACACGTGTTTGTGTTTGCGTGTGTGTGTGTGCCTCTGTGTGTTTATGTCTGCACATGGGTGGCGGGGTGTGTTTATGCCTGTATGTTTCGCGCTGAAGTCGTATCTTGCAATTCTGTATCATCATTCATGCGGCCTCAGAGATCAGCTAATGCCCCCTTTCTGCCATTCAGAGCAAATCTCAATGGTGGTGCCGCTCACGCCCCTGCAACCTGTAAAGCCACTCAACAGCTGCTAGAGGAAATTCCTCAAGGCTACTGCTGATGCCCAGTGGCAGCCATTTCCTGTGCATGTCTGTGGGACTAATGTGAACGGGCTATGCTAAGCACAAGCTGCAGGGTCACAGCTAACCCCACCCTCCCACTGGCAGCCTGGGGGTGTTCTCTGGGACAGGCTGCATGGCAGTAAAGCCTCCCAGACTAGACACTGGACAGGGATTCAGGAGATCTGGGTTCAGATCCCAGCTCTGCTCCACACTGCCTTTGTGACCTCGGGCAAGTCACTTCATCTCATTGAGTGAGGAACTTCGGACCTGTGCCCCATGCTCCATTGCCTGTACGTAGGTACTGTTGGTTAAGGGCAAGTGTGACATCGGTGCATTGCCCTCTCTTGGGGGACTATCACCTGCCGTGGCAGGGGCATTTTGCTTTCTAACTCCTATTGGCCCAATAGTTTTTGCTCTGGAAGCTACGCTGTGATCTCTGACTCATGGGGGATGTGGGTGTGGCACTCCCGGGCCAAGTACTGAGTTTTCCCCACGGTGGGCTTGCCCATGTCCAAGTGCTGTGGGTGCCCCTGGCTATGGGAGGGTAGCACTGGGGACCCATTGCCTGGGGTTTACATCTGATGGTGAAAGATCATTGGTCTCTTGTGGTTTTTCTCTCTCCCCTCCTCGCCGCAGGAAGTGCCCACTGCGCAGAATGGAGTGGCAGGTTCTGGTGTTGGCTCTTTGCATGGGTTTGGCTCATTCGGCCTCTGCAGACTGTGCAGCCCAGTGCTCCATGTGTGCCGTGCAGACCCAGGATTTGGAGAAGCCCATCAGTCCCCTGGTAAGTGCTGGGTCCTATGCCAGGTGCAGTCTGGAGCAAACTCAGCTTTGGAGCTCAGATAAAACGAGCTCTGTATCCAAACTGGCCCCTGTTTTAGCCCATTTACCGGTCTGGTAACACTTGCTCTACAAAGACCCAGATTTTCCAGACTTGCGCATCTGTGTTTGCATGCCTGATTTGGGGATGCTGTTGCCATGGTTGTGTGCGTGCAACTGCAGTAATTGTGCACACTAATGTGCTTTTGTGCACACAGTACTGAAATCTAGCTGAACATGAGCATTTCTTCTTGCCTTGTATAGGGCAGTGGCAGGGCTGCTGAAGCGGTTGGTCCTGCTAGCTGGGGAAAGATTGGACTCTGCATGCTCTAGCAGAGACCAGAGAACAACAACATGGGCCCAGTTCTCCCCTGCCCTGCACTTTGTGCAGTCATTTACACTAGTGCAAAGTCTGTGTCAAAGCTACCAGTCTGATCTGACAGCATCTCACACCCACTGTGCACTGGTGTCTACGATGATCCCAAGTGCCGCACAACGTAGAATCAGGGCCGTGGGGCTGGGTCTCCTTTTGATCTCTGACGATCTTTCCCTCTCTGTATCCGGCCCTGGATGTTAGAGGTATGGAAGCATCTGCTTCCTACTGTGGGACCAGATTACTCAGCCGTCCACTGCAGCGGGGTGGGATGCAGGCTCTTACAAGGTAGGATGTTGTGGGATCACAAGGAGTAGAGCTAGAGCCCCTTCCAGGACTGGAAAGGGGAATCCCAAGACATCATTCCTCCCTCTTGAGGGGTACTGGAGAGAGCCCTGGCGCTTGGGGACTGCCGGCGGGTGTCATGGGTTTGCTCTCGTTGGTGTGTTGCAGATCTGTTCGCTGGAGTGTCAGGGCTCCTTGCTGTCCCGCGCGGAGTGGGAGAGGTGCCAGACTGCTCTGGCTCTCCTCACCCCGCTGATGGCAGTGGTGGAGGGCCAGGGCCTGTCCCCTCTGGAGGCTGAGGCGAAGGCAGAGCCAAAAGGGAGCCCCATCTCCGGCGAGCTCCCCAGCGGCCTGGTCAAACGCTACGGTGGCTTCATGAAGAAACTGGACAAGAACAAGATTTTCTCCCTCTTGCGTGAGAACGCCCACAGCAAAGGCGGCATGACTAAGAAGTACGGTGGCTTCTTCCGCAAGCCGGGGGAGAGGGCGGCCTCTGAGGTGGTGGAGGACTACCCAGAGCTGGAGGCCAGGGAGACAGGCGACCACGGGGAAGAACCTGAGGAAGGAAACCTCAAGGACGAGATGAAGCGCTACGGGGGCTTTCTCCGCAAGTACCCCAAGCGGAGCTCGGTGCTGGTGCCCGAGGGGGAGGGCCAGGAGCTGGAGGACCTGCACAAGCGCTACGGGGGCTTCATGCGCAGGATCCGCCCCAAGCTCAAATGGGACAATCAGAAGCGCTACGGGGGCTTCCTGCGGCGCCAGTTCAAGGTGACGACGCGGTCGGATGAGGACCCCAACGCCTACTCGGGGGAGGTCTTGGACCTATAGAACCCCCCCGACAGTCGGAATACTTCCAGTATGGACTGCATCGCTCCTCCCGCGCCACATCACCCTCCTGTGCTCAGCCAAGCATCCCAGGCATCACACACCGACCCAGACGCACCACCCCGCTGCTGCTTCCCTGAAGAGCCAGATGTTTCGAGCCAGGCAGGGATTGCAACTGGCAACGTTCCTCCTCCGTTTCTGTCTCTGTCAACTCTGGGACTTGGACCTGCTGCTGTTTCCAGCACCGAACCGATCAGCCCAGCTAGGGGTTTAGTTCAGCTGGATCGAAAGCAGGTTACTTTCATTAAGTCTCAGACGACTGACTATCGATCCTCCCTGTGATCCTTAGCGATGAGCCCGACTCACCCTCCAGTCGGAATAACCCCAAACGCTGGGGAAGTTCAGCTCTGGAGCCAAACTCGGTGGCTGGCCCCTTTGGTCCGTCACGGACCAAACTAGAGCTCCAGATCCAAAGGCCTCCCAGCTTTGGGGGAGTTTGGCTCCAGCTCCAAATCGGAACCGTCCAACTGTAGTTCTTTGCGGTGGAAACCCATTTTCAAAGGTCCCCGGCGCTGGCACCAGGTGCTGCCGGGCATTTCCCATTTAGATATTCGAATGGAAACAGAGGCATCTGCTACTTGCCTTCTAGTCTATCCATTCAGACGCCTCTGCTCAGAACAGCCAGTGTGTCCCAGAGGGACCTGTGTTTGTACGGGAGGGCATCTTGCCTGGAGAGCAAGGTGGGCTTGCCCTATAGAACCCTGACTTGCTTCATTATATTCCAGCTAAATCCCAGCTGTGACCCTTTCTAATACACACGAGAGAGGCACACTTCTAATGAAGCGATGCAATCACAATAGTGTCGCACTTCTGAAGGCACCCGAGTCAGCCTCTCGTTTGTCACCTGGGGATTTACGCACACAGTCATTAAGGGAGCCGAGTGAATGGAGGTATTGTGCTGCCAGATTTGCTGGCACAGTCCGATTGTTTGTGCCTTGGAGTGATTGTGTGCACAGAATTGCAGGTGCAAATAATTAGGAGCAGAGACTGACACTAGCTGTCCCCATTCTCTCTCTGCTCACAGGGGATCGCTCCCACACACAATGACAGAAATCAGTGAGGAACCATTTCTGAAAGTTTGGCTCATCAGGTAGTTCTCATTGCAACCATCAGTGTTCTCCCCCATCCCCCAGCTAGTACTGAATTGCAACAGGCCAACAAAAATACCCTGAGACAGAGGCAGGAACGGGCGGGGCTTGGCACATTGTTTCCTTTTCCAACCATGGGCAAAATTGGGAAATTAAACTAGAGGAAAGCTATGAAAAGGAATGTAGATGAAGTCTGGACTCTGCCTGAGACGCACTGTTTGGCTAAGCACAGGCCTCCATCAGCCCTCACCTGCTCCCTTGTGCTGTTCTGAAATGTACAGATTGTTTCGGAGTCTGGTTACTTTCCGTTATTACGTTTACAAGAAGAAATAAAGTTTGGTCTGTCTTGAGATGGGTCACGTTCACCCTCTTCCTTTTCTGTATGGTAAATAAAAAGATGTTAATGAGTCTGTGTCTGGTGATGCATCTGTCCGCAGCGTGGGGGCCGGCCAGGATGAGGGCTCATCACGGGGCTAACATAGGTCTTTGGGGAAGAAGCCCTGGAAATCAGGGATGCTCTAGGTGTACTTGGTCCTGCCTCAGCACAGGGGCTGGACTAGATGACCTCTCACTATGGCTCCTTTGGGAGAGCAGCCAGCACCTCACAGGAGTGAGCCCGAAACGTGCTTTATGTGCATGAAGCAAATGTGGGTGCTTTTAGATTCACTGCTGAGTACTCGGATTATTCAACTGGGGGAGGGGAGCAGCAGGTGCCAGGACAAGGACACAGAAAAGAAAACAATGAATGCCCAGTACCCCTGCTTCGGCTGGGCATGAAGCACTGGCGTACAGAGGGACGCAAAGCATAGAGACCCTGTGGAGTTATGACCCGCATCCAGGATAAGGGAGGAAAAAGCCCCTCTCCAGAGAGTTCTGCTACTCCCATCTGAAAATGTGTCCATGTTGGAAATATGATAATTCCAGCCTCTCACCCACACATCAGGGCAAGGGAAATATCAGCGGGTCCTCGTCCCCTTCACCGTCCGAATGGGTGGGTAGGTATCGGGCTGGGAGCTGGTAATTGTTCCTGACAGTTTTGCAGGTTTGATCTGTACAGCAGGGCCCACCCTCTGTGGATCCACCTCCGCCCAGTTGCACCCACCTCGGCCTACTCAGCCATTCCACTCCCTCTCTGTTGAGAACACACCTCTTCCTGGTGCTTTCTGTGCTCTGAAACAAGCCATGCCAAAAACTTTCCAGCTGCAGCTTCCAGACTCTGCCCAGCAGAGACAATCCCCCAGTCTCCTGCCTTTCTCCTTGGGAAGGAACGGAGCTGTTGTTACAACAAGCCGGAAATTTGCTGGAGATGTCAGGAGGGCAGGAGCCACGGTAGATGAAGGGAGACCATGTGGTGTACTGGGCAGGGCAAAGGTCTGGGAGGCAAGAGACCTGGTTTCAATTCCTGGCTCTGCCACTGTTTGAAATTCAGCCCTGTGCAGCCAGCCAGCACCCAACCTTAGGTACTGCACGCACCTTTCTAAAGTCCTTTCCCTGGGGCTGAATTTTACCTTTTGTGGCCCGGAGCAAAACACTTAACCCCCCGCCCTGTGTCTCCTGGGCCCCATGGACAACAGAGGGCTAAGGAGACTGAGCTGGGGATGAATTATAATTATTAATTATAATGAGCATGAGACAAGTTAAGGAAGGATTCTTCTATTTCCCCTAGCACTAGGCCGGTCCCAGTGTCAGGTGTCTGCTCCCAGCTGGTCCGCCATTCCCCTGGGGCCCGCGGGAGGGAGGCTCAGAGAGCTTGAGCCTGATTTTTTCGCCCGTTGGTGATTCCAGGGGAGTTAGTCCTCATTTACCCCAGCGAAGCGGGATCAGAGTCAGGCCCTGCTCCTGCTGAGGAATGGCCCTTCGCTGAGAAACCGCCTCCTCTCCTTGCTCTGAAAAACAACAGGGTAAAGCTGACAAACAGTTCCCATGGCAACAGCTGCCCATGGCCCATCAGCAGGTGTGACTCAGCGCTAGAAGTGGCTGCCGTGACCTTCAATGGAGCAGGAGCCATCGACCAACAGCTTCACTGCAAGAAGGGCTTTGGCGCAGGGGGGTCTCTGCGTGAGCGGCCCAGGACACCCCCTCTCAGCGGGACCGGCTGGCGGGGGTATGTGTAAATGCCCCAACCGCTCCCAGAGGCAGAGAATAGCTGCACCCTGGAGAACCTGCCTGGGCTGCCAATTGGGGAGGGGGTGGGGCTGTCCTGCAGCTGGCTCATTAGCAGGGGGAGGGGGCTATACAGAGAAGGCAGCAGGCACCCTACCCAGGGTGGGGCTAACAGAAAATTGGGGCCTGTTCAAGCATGCTGGGTCAGAAGCAGTCAGCTGGTCTCCTTAGCGCCCATGCCCAAGAGGAGCAAGCCTGGCGTGGCTGGACAAGACCCTGCCGTCTTCCCCGGCTCAGCAGCAGGGCTGTTCACAGGTACTTTGGGCCAGGGCTGAGGGAGGCTTGGAGGGCTGGGGCCTGGCTGGGTTTCTGTTTGGGCCGAAGGATCCAGGGCAGGCGCTGTGCATGCAGGCTGGCTGTGGCTTGGGAACCGGCATGAGGCTTAGAGGGGGTTGGCCTTTGCTGCGACTGACACCATTGTATCCGGTGCCCACGCGACCTTGGTTGGACGCAGTTTGAAGCAGGCGGCGCCTTCCTGCCGCTGGGGATGAACACTGTGTGCTGGCCCTGAGAGCTGTGGCTTTCCTGCCTCTCCTCATCCTCTGTAACTCCTTCGGCTGGGCAGCCCAGTTAGCCACCAAAGGGGGAGGCTGCCCACCGGTGCTAATGCTGCGGGAAGCTCCTCGGGGAGGGCGCCCTGAGATGCTGCCTGTCTCTGGAGATGGTTTGCATGGCAGCCCTTCGGGGAACGCTTTGTCTCTGCTTTACAAACTCTGGGCTCAGGACTCTGTCTGCTGGGGCCGTGCCTGGGGGCTAGTAACCACTGACCTGCAGCACCTGTGGTGTGAAGGGTGGCTGCTGACTCGTGGACAGGCTGATGTGCACCCTGGAGGGTGGTGGTAGTGGGGGGCTGGTAGGTAACCTGCAGCTGTACTGCTTAGCAATGGCTGAAGATTGGGTTGTATGTTTCATGGGGGCAGAGGACTTTGGCCTGCCAGGGAATGTGCTTCTGTGGCCAGCTCAGGCCCATGGGAAGGAGGACACCCCAGTGCCACCCTCTTTGGGGGATGCTTGATGGGGCATCACCTTGGTGGGGAAGGCACCCTGCCTCTGTCCTAGGTGTGCTCTACAGCGGTATTGCTGGCAGCTGCCAGGTAACTTATCCTGTAGCCTCCCCTTGTGGCCTGGAGATGAGCCTTTGTAGCTGCTTTGTAACATGCAAAGGAGGCAGAGAGTGTGTGTGTGTTTGGAAACCTAGAGTTGTGTAACGGGAGGAAAAATGAAGGTGTGTCTAGTGAGCCTTCCCCACGCCCAGTGAGTGAACTGTCCTCTCCAAAGGGTAACGATCCACGCTCCTCCCCAGCAATTATTGCTCCTTGGGCCACCACGGCTCTTCCTGTACAGCTTGTGTGTCAGTTTATCCGGGGACTGATTGAGGTACAGACCCTGCTCCATGAAAGTACATTACAGGCTTTCGGCATATGCTTAGGTATGGGACAGACCTGCAAGTAAAAACAGCAGCACGGGGTGGCACCATCTAGCCAGTGAGAATGAGCTCTGATCTCTCCAATAGCTGATACGTGAGCTCCCCTTAATGGTGAGTCTGGGACAGAGAAAAATCAACAGGCTGCTCGTTAATGTCCCGTGTCAAAAGCTGAAAGGCAGGAGGGTCCTGACAGAAGCTAGAGCGAGAGGGAAAATCTGGCAGAAACCGTTCAAGTCTAACAAACATGGAATAAAGGAAAACACCACAGCAGCCCAACACTGTAGCATTTAATTTCAGAAGGGGGACTACACAAAAATGAGGACGTTTAGTGAAACAGAAATTAAAAGGTATAGCGCAAAAAGTGAAATCCCTGCAAGCTGCGTGGAAACTTTTTAAAGACCC